TGCATCTACAACAGCAGACGGGTATAGGTACGGAGGCACAGAGGATTAACCCATGGAAAGATCACATATGGGATTAGTGCAGGACAAACAGATGAAAATCTGACTCGGCCCATTTGCCTGGTGTGTTTTTCTGTGTGTGCGTGAGGCGAGCAATGAAGATCAGATTTGTCTTTGAGAGGTTTAATATGTTTACTCACTAAGGCTCAAGCTGAAAAAACATGACAGAAATCCTGAAAGACATGAAGCATCTTAATGGTATCTATGGAAACCAAAGGCCATGGTCAATCAGAGGAACTTCTTTAAGAATTCCACTCCTTCATGGCTGGCACCACTTATTGAAGTGTTGGCCTTCTATATAGTTTATCTTCCTAAAGTCTCCTATAGTATAAAACATAGGTCTTTGTTACAGGACTTCATTTTTGTCTCTGATTTTAGCCAAAGTTCCAGATTATGAAATTAATCACATTGTATTAATGGTTTATGATGACATTAACCATACATCTAATTGCAGAATAAAAAGATGAGAAGATAAATTGTATAATTGCTGTAACCTTGTAAAGAGAGTAAAACTATGACATTCTAACTTTCTACACATGTTCACAATATACCCTTTTATGCATCTAATTGTATGTTAGCTGCATCATATTTTGAGAAGAAGTGGCTAATAAACACTAACCAATTGTAATAATTGTGTACTTTGGTCTGCTAGAGAAACATTAGGGCTTTTTCCATTGCAAAATTTCTTTAAGATTAAAAAAATTGTGTCGGACGACGTTGTAGTGTTTAGGGCTCATTGAACGTTAATGGGGATGATCACACCAAATGGGGGCTTGTGTAGCTCCGTTTGAAATAGACTCCAGGTCTATTTTAGGCGAATTATACAGCAGTTCAGCGGCAATTGGTCTGACAGGAAGAAAGAGGCAGAAACACAATGAAACACATCTGCTTTGGGGGAAAATACAAAATAAAATCTGCATGGGGAAAATCAGTTCTGGATTCGCACATCGTGTATATAGCAAGTGGGACAGACTTGTGCAAAAATAATCAATGAAACATAAAAAAAAGAATACTTTACCAATGCTAGGAGTCTACTGTAGGTGGACAGAAAACGGATAAAGTTGTGATCCTCTTTGAGCCTAGCAAAAAACATAATAATAACAGGCAGCAGTTAAGCAAATCGCATCAGTCTTGCCTTTTTATGAAAAAAAGAGAAACAAAACTTCTACAAACTTCCCAGATCTCTCTGAGAATCACCTCTCACTGCCTCAGTCAGCATATAAACCATCCCACTGTGTTTATTGCTGTTTTTCTTTTCTTTAGACTTAGTTCTGAAATAGTTTTTATGTACTGTAGACCTATTCTCTATCTGTTCCCGTCTGAGATTCTGTACAGACTTGTTAAGTGGGTCTTTGCCTTATATCGGCTCCAGGTTTTTTTTAATTATTAGTTTCAGTTTATCATTGAATTTTCAATAATTTTTTAGTCTCTCCCGGTCAAATGTGGGATAGGGTTAGGGTTAGGGATTTAAAATTTTTTACTAAGGAGCTTTAGGCAATTCTTTAAAGCAGGAGGTGAATAGGTAAGGTTCCTATATTACTGCATTCACTACGTAGTTCTGTTTTTTTTTTTTTGAAAATCTAAGCCAGAAACCACACACTTTTATTTAGTGTCCCATCTATCTTCTTAGCCTCACTTGTGGTTAGAATTCGATCTTGGCTCCAACAAAAATATATACATTGCAAGAAACTAAATTGAGCCTCTTAAGCTTTAAAAGAAGTGTGAGAAATGTCTTTATTTACAAGTGAATTTATCTGATCAGAATCCCTGCTGTTACCTTTGCTTAAAGATTTTCAAAAGACGTCCTTCTTAAAGGAGACAACAGAAATATCTAGAATTTGCTGGAGACACTGTAAGACCCTTCTAAAATTGCACTACTATTGGATCCTCTGAAGTAGCATCGAATCCCAACTTTTAACTCACTAAACCCCGTTTAAAACTCACTTAACCCACTAACAGTGTTCCTTCAACTCTACAAACATATTGCACTAATCTTCGATTCCAGTTGGATGATTAAAATAGTTTTGTGTCTCTAAGCTTTGTTTCCCAATATTAAATAAACTGTAGATAAAAGGATCTAAGAGACCAAATTGGCTAGATGTTGATTTGAAAATATTGTTTTTTTTTTAAAACATTTGAAACATCCTCCTTTGTTTACCATCCTTAATTCCCTCCAAGTGGTGACATTGGAGCTGTGCAATATTCCTCACTTTATTCAGTTTGTTTTCTAAGCTCCGCTTATTTAAGAGGACTGCTGTGCAGAGATATTTTGAGGATATTTCTGTTGGTGTTTCCTTTGTGATAGAAGAAACAGTGCGCATTTGTTAGGAAATGTTGCTATCGAACAGCCGAGGGGAACAGCAGGTGGATTTATTAGAAGTTAAACTTTTGACTTCCTGCCAGCGTATATCTGTCATCACAAACAGTTTTGGCAGGTTTGCAGGGTTGGAACCACCAGAGTTTGCTTGGAACCGATCACCTCTTTTGTTTCCAAGAACAAAATGTTAACCATACCCACTGCATGATCAGTATTGTTTCCCCTTGTAAACCAAATTAGAGGGATGGTAGGATTTATCAGTGGGAAACATTTGATTTGTGGACTATTAGCTGCTTTTTATGTATTTACATGAACACGGTGTTACCATTATATTTGAGATGTTAGGGATTTAACACTTAGATTTGGATTTTTTTATTGTACAGATAAAAGGGAGACAAAAATAAACTAGAAAGCATCGCAAAATATCTAACAAAATGAATAATGAAAATTTACTTTTTGAGTACGGCAAAACCCGAATAGCAAAACTAATAAGTGAAGGAGGACCAAAACACGAAATTCCTCAGGTAAATAATTTAAACCTAACAAGAAAAACTTCAAGAGTAAATTATGAGCTCTTAAAGTGAACTAAATTAAACGATGTTAAAGACAACAGTCGAATAATGAGATGATAGATAAAGAGAAAACTAACACACCAATGAAAATGCAAAACCGCAAAGAAAGCCAAATCATTATTATTATTATATAGAGTTATTTTTAGTTTGTTTTCCCGGTGTCTGTGAATCTCACATTGTGACTGACATTGTTTAAGGTGACGAGGTTTAGTGCAGAGCAAGATAAATAGTTCCTGTGAAAATATATGTAGGCGGACAATGTTTTGGTTCATATCATCTTTTATGTCCCCTTTGTAGCTGCATGAAAAACCTTAAAGTTTTTAACTGCACAGTGTAGTGTAGTGTAGTGGTCCTCCCTGTTCTGTTTTGCTTTCCTTTTTTCAAGTCGTGCTACAGAACGCTGAATGTGCTCAGGTATAAAACAAAGCCATATGCTTTCAGTACAGGGTTATAACTATCTTGTCTGTCTTCTTTAGAATTGTGTTTAAAGTATGGAACAGCTGACACAAAGCAGATAATGGTTGGAGGGAATTGTTCCCACATCTCATTCAAATTGAAATAAGTGGCTGAAAACGTTATCTTTAAGATCAAAACGTTTGTATACCTTAAGGCGATTCAAGGTGGGGAACATCCTAATCTTTAATTTCATCGCCCCATGTTTGAATCTGATTTACGTGTGCCAGTCTCGCCTTGGCTCTTCTTCTTGCTTCTTCATGAATGAAAGCCAGCTCCCAGATTGGCCTCCTGCCAAACGTCCTGTGATTAAATTTCCTTCGATCTGGAGTTCTGGCATCAGATGAGATTCCAATCCTTCAGAGACTTGATTTCAAATCCTCCGAGCAGAGAAATCTGATTAGTTCCAGAACATGAGGAGTCTTGCCTGGTGGCAACATGGGACAAATCCTTTCCATGTGCAACTTAACGCCTCTTTTAATCTGGTTGGTGCATATATATGCTTTTAAATTAGTGTCCCCTCACAGAATAAAAGACAAATTTAAAAACACAAAAAAACTTTGAATAACTTAAGAATTGATTAAATTCATTTATGATTTTAAATATCTGATACATATGAAGATAAAAGCCTCTTTTTCATGAAGAGACACACAGTTGCAGGTTCAGCAAAGCTTCTTAGTTGCACCTGCAAAGCTTGACTTTGAGTCATCCCTCAGATATTAGACACATGATCCATCTCTGAAGGCTGTCACAAACGTCTAAGAAGAATAGTGATATGATACAAAGGGAACTGCAGGACTCTGGGGTTTGCAATAGAGAGCAGGAGACAGCAGGTTTCTCCAGAGGCCATCTGATGCAAGAATATCTTGCTCAGCAGAATCTGATTTCAATAATAACATGTTGAGGATGATGCGCAACAACGTCCTTGTATTTAAAGCTCTGAATAGATTTTTAAAGCCTGCATCAGGATCGAAGCATAGATCTCAACCTTTTAGGGGATTTACTCAGAAAATCCCCAAAGCCTTAAGTGAAACGTAATGGGGAAGTGGTTGTATGTGTTGTTGTGAGTATAAGAAAAAAAAAATAAAATTTGATCTGATATCAGATACTGTTATTGCCCAACAGTCGTTGAAGGTTTAAATGGACCTTTTCCATTAAGTTACTGTTTTTTTTTAAGTGAAAATAATTGTTTACATGTGGAAAATGGTTAATTAAGCTATCGGTACTATCAGAAATCTAAGTCCCTACAAGGCTGGATGGTGCAATGCTCAAATGAATGGGATAGGAAATTTTTAGAGCTCTGCATTGGATTTTGCAAGCTTTTATTAGCCATAAAGGTGTGGTTAAGTGTTGAGCTCCTTTGGTTTTTTAAGATTTTGTCCAAGAAAAAGACATCTTCACTCAGTAGAAATTATAGCAGAATAAACTACATCATTCCTGTAAAAATATCCTGAGGTGAACAAGGTCAAGATTGTTTGTGGTATTTTGTTGTATTTTTTAAAAGAATAAACACAATCTGTTCCTGTTCTGCTGTCTCAGGTAAAAAAAAAAAAAAACCATATATTCACAAGTCTGACCTTCCATGTTTTCTGTTTTGGCAGAACATCTGAGGGGGTCCACCCCCGCCTTTTGACTTGCTGTTGACGTCACTTTCAGGCCACTTGTGCTACACAGACTTTTACAGTGTAAGTACCCCTAACCTTTTTCTAATGCTTAGTTTCCTGCAATTTTATAATTTATCTAAGCTGCTGCACTGGTTTAACTATTAACCCAAAACCATGAAAAAGTTACATCAATATAATTCTTATAATTCTTAAGTATTACATTCATTGATTTGTGGTTAAAAATGGCTGTTTGTATATTTAGATTCATTTGCCTCAATGGTTTTCCATGAACTAAGAAGTTACATTTATTCATATTGTTGAAATATTAACTTTCCTCTTGTTAGAATTTGATCGCAGTCAGACACCAAAAATTGTCAAAGTGTCATCATCAAACAAAAAATATCTGTTGCATCTTCATTATGACCACAGAGCTTTATTTAGCAGTTTTACTCAATTCAAACATTACATTTAAAATCAAGAAGAAACAAATGCAGGTACTGCTAGTAAAAAAACAAAAAAATCAAGAAAAGTGTAAAATAAAAAATAGCTGCAAATATGAAAAGTCTTCCTTACATAATTTCCCCTATTGCACAAAACCAGGGGGGAACCCTCATGGTTTTTGAGCTATAGAGGGATTTTTATTTTTTATTTTTTGCAAATCCAAGTTTTTAGATTGCAGTAGCAAGGCCATGTTCCTCAGGTGCAGAAGATGGTAACAGAATTGCTTAATAAGTACAGTCGTGTCCTTGGCTATGTCTGGTCTGGAGCATGAGAACAAAAGGAGAGGCTGTAGTGTACAACTCCAAAAACAGGAAATCAATAATATCTGGTTTTATTTTGGCAGGTTGCTACATGAACAAACCACAGGCAATCTCTGCTGTGTCCTGTTATCCATTTTTCTTCTCTCAGCCGATTGTGCTTCTAAGTAAAAAGCTTAATATCGATTCATAAGACACTAAAACAGTTGCATTATGAGTCTGAGTCATTTTTTTTGCTACCAATGTAAATAATGTGGTATCATTACATGTAACAATGCCATATGTTCCACCGCATGCTAATAAGCATGTCCCTTTGCATGTGCTGCAAAATAATCAATATGAAAGAAATCAGCGGTTAATGAAGAACCAAATCTCCCAGCTGGAGAGAAAGCATCATGCTATGAAATGAACATCGACTGATTTATTTTTCAGCAATGTCTCGTTACAATCAGAGGCACAAAAAGAACAAAAATACATCTGAGTGAAAATCTACTCAAAGTGTGGCTGAGTGTATGTGGGGGGGGGGGGTCAATGCTTGATTTGATAAGTTCCACATTTGCTGCTTCGTCAGTTTATTTTGTCACTCCATGTCATCTAGCAAAGTGCTGCTTTTATTACAGATTGTAGTCCACCTCATTTACCAGAACCCCTTCAGGCAGCAGCTGTTCAAAGACTGTTAAGCAGCATCTTGGTTTGTTGTGGTTCTAAACTCAGAGGATGTTTAGTTTATCCGTCTTGGTTGTGTCCGTACAGCTTATTTTTGATTAGCTTTGAATAAACTGACAGAAAAGTTGTGTAGGTGTCATGTTAATCAGCTCAAACACGTTCATCCTATCATTTACATAGATAAGAAGCACAACATAAGTAGACATTCGTATTTAAGCAATATTTTAATTAAGCTTTGATAGTAGAATAGATAGGGAGCAAATCTGTTGTTTTGACAACTATTGGGAATGCACAGAACTCAGTAATGGAGACTTGGTGATACTGGGTGGGACAGGTTTATGTTATTAAATGAGGAGGTGGTGCTGGGTCGAGGAGTTGCAAGATTTTCTGGTTAGGTTCATTATTCGATGGTTTGCGTGGAGTTTGCATGGCATACTCCATTATTGTTTTTAAAGTTAGCTATATGATGGCAGATGGAAAAGTCTGGTCATATTCAGAAGACAAGCTTCTGAAAGTAATTTAAATATGAAATTATTACATACTTTTTAATAAATGATAAGTGTTTTTAATTGAGTAATTTCATTTGAACGTGCTTTACCAGAGACATCCATGTTTGTCAAAGAGCACTACTGCGTCCTTCCACTTTGTGACGTCACAGTGAGGTGTCGGCTGTTGAGCAATCCCAATGCTTTATCTGGTGTTTGTCACAACACGCTATTATCCATGATGGCGACGACCAGGGGACTATGTGAAGCAGACAGTAATGGATTAATCACGTGTTTTTTCTCTGTTCAGAAGTTCGATTGCAAATCCTTCCTCTTCAAGTTGGTAATCCAATGATTAACCCATGGTGGCATGAATTGGAAAGGCAGAATAACTTTTTTCACTGCGTAAAAATTCAAAAAAATATCCACTGGACTTGGTTTCCAAGATTTGAAGACGTTTCGCCACCTCTCCAGGAAGCTTTCTCAATTCAAATGTCTGGATCCGCAGTGAGTTTGAGTCTTATGTAGACAAAGCCTTGTATCGCTTGGAAACATGCAAATGGTAACCGATGAATGGGTCGTTAGTTCCATCGTTAGCCTGTAATATCTGAAACCTGTCTATAATTCTGAAGGTCGGTCGTTAAAGGGGGGGGTTTGCCATTAAGGGGGGGATTGTCTCCTGTAATACCTGAAACCTGTCTATGATTGTTAAGAGTCGGTCGTTAAGGAGGTATTGTTCACCGGCTGGAGCGGGTAGGTCCCTCGGTCCTCTGTGATGGGGTGGGTGGTTTGGTGATATCTGGAAGGGATCATGTCTATGATAGAATTGTATCTTTTTGGAAGCTGGAATCTGAGTCCACCACCTCTGTTTAAAGTTGGTTTTCTCTCTTAACATAGAAAATATAACATAGAAAAACCAACCAACGGATCCAGACATTTGAATTGAGAAAGCTTCCTGGAGAGGTGGCGAAACGTCTATGATAGAATTGTATGTTTTTGGAAGCTGGAATCTGAGTCCACCACCTCTGTTTAAAGTTGGTTTTCTCTCTTAACATAGAAAATATAACATAGAAAAACCAACCAACGGATCCAGACATTTGAATTGAGAAAGCTTCCTGGAGAGGTGGCGAAACGTCTATGATAGAATTGTATGTTTTTGGAAGCTGGAATCTGAGTCCACCACCTCTGTTTAAAGTTGGTTTTCTCTCTTAACATAGAAAATATAACATAGAAAAACCAACCAACGGATCCAGACATTTGAATTGAGAAAGCTTCCTGGAGAGGTGGCGAAACGTCAAATCTTGGAAACCAAGTCCAGTGGATATTTTTTTGAATTTTTACGGAATGACTATGACCTGGATGACTGAGAACCTTCATCAACAACTTTTTTGACTTTTACCCGATGTATTACAACATCCATTTGCCGTGCATCTGGGCATTGTCAGTTTAACTATAGCTCTGGTGAATTTAATGGTCCTCTCGAAATCTTAAATAATGTTGGTGATTGCAGAAGTGTCTAGGAGTGCCCATAGATTTTGCTTGTAACGTGGGGAAAATGGCGCCATGCTTACCGCACTGTGGCGTCACTGCCGGCAAATGTCAGGATGGAGGTGTTACTACTTTGGTCAAAAATGGGCGTTCCCGGACTCAGTGATTGCGACGATTGTTATTGTTTTTATTTTTTACTGATTAACACTAACTTCATTAAATCACAGCTAACGCATTAGTTTTAGGTATAAATAATGACCCATTGGTTATTCCGTGCTGTCTGGACTTTTCCTTTAAGTCCTAAAATATTAAAAACTTAGTATGTTCACGTCTTTGTTGGATTTTTTTGTTATGTTTGGAATTTGTATTATAATTATTTCTACCCTTTAAACAGGGGTATCTTTGGGTCTCCAGTTATCAGTCCCCTTGAAACACGGCGACCCCTCAACAGTTTCCATTCAGTCGAAAGAAAAATAGCACACATTTTATTATTGTGCATGAATTACGTTTTACAATGAAGAAATCTGAGTTGCTTGGTGAAACTTGTAAAAGCTGTGATTCATTGTTGGCCTTTGAAGTTTGAATAGGAATGCAGTACATTTGATCCGTTTTAAACTGCAACAATAACGGCTAATAAACTAGATTTTCACAGATTAACCATTAACAATGTATAAATTGAATAATCAGATTTTCTGCACAAATCTGAACAGAAATTTGGCCTCCATCTTTTTTCTTTCATGGAATAAATTGTCCAGCTGGTTTAAACAGAGCTTGCCTCAGATACATCTGGTTTTTAATACTTTCTACAGGGTTTTGTGTCATTTGAAATAAAAAAAAAATGCATTGTAGTAATAACATTGCACTTGGGGTTTGTACTATAAAGACGTACAGCAAGCGGAGGGAAAGAATTCAAATGAGTGGAAGGAGAAGAATACGTGCATCTTGTGCTTTCAGTCATCTCTTTTTTTCCAATTTTTAACGACTTTTTGTCACTTTTCTAAAGTGCCTCATCCTGTCTATGCTTCCTTTTCTTTCCAGCTGTCGGTGCCCTTCATCACTCATTCATTATCCTTTACTATATTATTTCTTTTTGTGGATTTTCTTGCATCCTTTTGCTCATTTTTTACCCTAACCACAAAAAAAAACTCTTTATGTTTCCCTTTTCCATGTCTTATGAATCTTTGTTCATTCATCCTTAGTTTGGATTTGTTGTTATTTTCATGTAAATTGACCTTTTTTTCCTTTTACCTCATTTATTCACATTCTCCATTTGACCGTCTGTTCTGTTATTCTGCTTTCCTGATTTCACCCTATTCACCCAGTTACATTCAGAGAAGAAAGACATTCGGCAACCTCCAACACCCCACATAAGAACAGCCACATTCACACACGCTTTTTGAAATGGTTCAGCTTGACAGCGCTTTGTTCAAACGTCCCAATGTCACAAGCAGTGCAGTCATTGCTTATGTGGTGGCACAATGGTGTGGCAATGAAATTGTTCATAAGAAACACGAAAAAAAAGAAGAGAGAAATGAAAAATGGAACAAGAAGAGGTTGTTTAGGGCAGGCGGTATGGCGCAGCACTCAATCACTGCTTCTTGTTCAGGCAGCCCCTTAAGAGCCTTAAATGGCTCATTTCTAAACGTATTATAGAATATGTAACCCTTTCCTTGCCTGGTAAATG